CTGCTTTCACTTTGTGTCATTTCATTCTTGGCCTTACAAGTTTGCACCTCTCTTCATGCCACAACAATAGGGAAAGAATAGGACATTTGCATCCTTCCTGGAACCTATTTTGAGGCCTACTTTGTACTCCAAAACATTTGTTTAAAATGCTCCAGTGAGTCTCAATGATTTTAGGCCCAAGAGAGGTCTTTTATTTGAAACAAGAAATCAGAATATACTTCTGTTTGACTTCCTTCTCTTTTTTTCTTTTTAAAATATCGATCAAATACCTAAAAGGGATTGTCAATTGTCAAAATTATCCAAGAACGTGTTTGGATGGATTTTGAGACCAAAAACATGGAAAATAATTCTTTTCAGGGTTAAGGTACACAATGGTATGCAGCATGGAGGGATGTCACCCTCCAAAGTCTCATGGAAGTTATAGCCGAAGTTGGGAAAGTGCAGCCTACAGGCTCCCAGTAGCTCACTTGGGCAACTCTTATAGTCATGTAGTTCTTTAAAAAAAAATTCCATGTAAACTATCCTGTCTGGAGAATTTTGGAAATGGCCATTAAGTAAACCTTCCTTTCTCAGGGGCAAAGCCACTGGGGAGGTCAAAATCTAAGGTCCCAAAGATTAGATTCATAAATTTCAACAGAAAGGAAGAAACCATGAAAATGAACAAAATCTGGCTACTAGTATTTTAAAAACTCTAAAATCATAACAGTAAATAAAGAACAACACTTCATAGAAGAAACAATCAGAGACAGCTAATCACCTCTCAACAAAGGATTCCCCCAGGCAGTAAGAAGCCGGACCTTGAAACTGCTAGGCCATTAAATGCTAATTAAAGTGGCCAATTGAAACATTCACACCTTCCTCCAACAGACAAGACTTCTTTCCCTCACCTTGGACTTTCCACAGATATATAAAGCCCATTTTCCCAGTCTCCAACATACCTCACAACCTCTGAGGATGCCTGCCATAGATGCAAGCAAAATGTCAGGAGAGAATACTTCTGGAACATGGCCATACAGCCCGAAAAACCTACAACAACCCAGTGGATGCAGCCTCCCTGTATCTTGAAGTTAGCTACCCACCTCTTTGGTGCATTAAAAGAATTTGCAAAATTATTTTAAGCCATAGTTTCTGATCCCAAATTGTCAGTCAGTCACAAAGCATGATCATTAAACTAGATATCATTGTATGCTGTAGGGCAGAGCAATCTGAATCATATCTATGGATAAGTCCCATTGAATTATAATTGAACTTATATTTGCCATAAATACATGTTCGCCCTTGTCCCTGGAATAGCATGGTTTCTGATCAGAGTTACAGAGACCATTGCATTGGTGTCTACTGAATGTTAGTACATCTGTTAAGTACAGAAGGAATAATAATAATAATAATAATAATAATAATAATAATAATAATTTATTTATACCCCGCCACAATCTCCCCAAAGGGACTAGGGGCAGCTTACATGAGGCCAATCCCGTCAAATACAAATACAGCAGTACATCAACAAAACAAGTAAGTAAATAAAACAATATAAATAATATAACTAAACATAAAGCAATAACACACAAGAATTTTAAAAAGACTATGGCAGGGCCAGATGTAATAGATTAAAATTTTAAAAGGCTGGGTGTGTACAGAGTAGGCAGGGGCGGCTCAACCCATTACGCAAAGTAAGCATTTGCAGTATAGTTGATTTTGCTCAGGGGCGCTCTTGAGGCACTCTTGGGGGAAAATAGACCTTGACATATGCGAGTTGTAGTTACTGGGATGTATAGTTCACCTACAATCAAAGAGCATTCTGAACTCCACCAATGATGGAATTGAACCAAATATGGCACACAGAACTCCCACGACGAACAGAAAAATATATATCAGTGATTGGTTGGGGGGGGGGGGCGGAAATACTGCTTGCTTACCGTTGAAAATTACCTAGGGCCGCCTCTGCATAGAGAGAATCATACACTTGAGTTCAATGATTCTCAAACAATAGTCCTCCATGAATTTTGTACTTCAATTCACAGGAGTGTTAGTCAACTTGAGTAATGGTCAACTGTTCCATGTCATAAAGTTCAGAGCTCGTGGAGGGTGAACATTTGAGAACCATCTCTCTTACTGCTACCTACAGCTGTAATCCAAAACTTGGAAAAGTTCCATTCTTGAAACTTATGACATTCTGGGAGTTGCAATCACACACACACACCCCACACGTGCGCGCGCGCACACACACACACATTTGTAAGTTGTACACAAGACTGAAGCATTCCTATCATTTAGTTTTGGTTCAGAACCATCTCCAATTTTTAGTCTTAACTACTTGCTAACAAAGCCTGCCACAATCTCCTTCTGTTAAATCCTTCACAACAATGAAATCTTAATTGCACCCAAAACAATAGGATCAATTTTCCCCTTTCTTCCTTTTCAATAATGCTCTGCATGGCATGCACCAGACATAAAAAACCTCTTTTGATAAAATTCTGGCCAAATCTTTAGGAACAGATAGATGCAGTTCCCACTTTGGGCGAACCAGCTTATGTGCCTACAAAGTCTGTTGCTTTGACAGATAACCTCTCAAAACACCCATAATCCTAAAAGAAAATCTGTGTTATCATTTTGTTGTCCCTCAAATCTATGCCACACGAAAAAGCTTTTTTACTGGCAGCAAAGCACTCAAGCTCATCTCATATCCACACCATTGCTAGGATACATTTTACACTTCGAAATGCAATATTGCTGTTTTCAAGAATTATCAGCAAGCTGAGAGGCAGATTCAACATCTAAGGACCACACCATTACTATATTAAGACCCCCCAGAATCTCATATGGTATCTAGTAAAATTTATTTATAGCCGTAAGTGAAGTCAGGAATTGATTGTTGCCGTTGCTGTTTTAGGGAACTCAAAGCTTAACATACAGAGCAGACATACAATGGAATTCATTTTTTAAATTACACTTTACTATACAAAGTAATTTCATATATAAACAAGCAATCCTCATATCCCCTCCCCTCTAGTCCCCACCCATTGACCCCTGCCTTACCATCCCTCTTACATCTATAGACATATGTGTATGCTACAAATAAAAATAAGCACGGCATCAGGTAGATAGGACAGTATGCTACTGTAAATAATGCAATTTTACATATATGAAACTAAACAAATAAGCAAAAAGTAACTAGGTAACAATGTCCCAACATATAACCTGTGCTCAAGACAACAGGCAAAATATGGAGAAACAGAATGGTTTCTCATTGTTCAGGTAAGACTGCATTTCACCACCTCATCTGTTTAACTTGTACCCTGATCATACATAAAGCTGGATTAGACTTTGAGGAAGGAGAAATGAAAATTGAAAGATTGAACAATTTAACATATGTATATGATGTCGTACTACTACAAATCAGCTATTTCAGATATCCAGATAAAGCCATACTACTAGCAGAAAACATCTAGTTTTACTATGGAGGAAAGTGCAAAGTCAGGTTTGCACCTGAACATCAAGAACACAAAAATGATGAGCACAGATGGTTTGTTGCTGCTGCTGCTGTATGCCTTCATGTAATTTCTGATTTATGGCAACCCTAAGGCAAACCTATCACAAGGATTTCTCGGCAAAATTTGTTCTGAGTGGGTTTGTCTTTGCTTTTCTCTGAGACTGAATGTGTGGCCTTACCTACAGTCACTCAGTTGGGTTTCCACAATGAAAATGAATTTTAAACCATTATAAATCCCTGATTCATTGAGCATTTTTGTAGTTATCCACTTATTGCTATTCTTGAAGTGTGTCAGTACCTTGTAAGTGGAATACATCACTCCTTATTAACTTTAACAAACCAGGTGTTTAAAGAGTAACGAAATTAGTGGAATCCCATTATGGAGGACGTGGAAAGAAACAAGAGGTGCAGATGACTGACAAACTGACTGGACGAGGAGTAAGATGAGAGCCCATGTTTTAAGCCAGGCAATCTCAGATGAAAGCCCAACCAAGAAATCTTTCACAAGGTCAAAATTCTGGGAGAAAAGAAACTGTAAAAGGACAAGAAGAATCCTTTTGAAAGAATTAATGGTGTAGTGTGCTCTCCTGAAATCAACAGCAACATCCCTGCCATTCTTTGTAAATCCCATGCTGTGGCCAACAAAATGGCTTAATCAATGAGTTAGTGAACAATAACTTAACTAATTAAATGATTTAAATTATTAGTGTTGATCATAATGAATTGCTTTCCAAATCCCTAAGCATTCAACATTATTGCACTGATTTTTAAATTTAAACTTCTCTTTGCTGGAGAGACTAAATTGCTAATAATGATTAGTCACCTCCAGTGATATAATTCTTTACTGATTTCTTTGCTCAAAAAAGCATTTAAATATTTTCAACAATATTTCTTCTCACTGCAAAAAACTCTCCCAAAACCATGCAGTCTTCAAAGGTTATTCACAATTCAGGGACCAGCATTTTTTTTTTTTGCATGGTATTGATTCCTGTTCAGAAAATGATGTTGATCCCTACACAGAAAACAATGTTATGTGCAAAATAATCCTAAATGAATTTTGAATACAATAAGTACTGAACGATTATGTTTATTTTCAATCCAAGATTTTTACTAATCCATTTCCTTGACAGTTGAGAAATACATTATTCAAATATTTATCAATTTTTAAAATTTTTCTTTCCATCCTAGTAGCTACTGGTATTTCTCCTCCCTCCATGAATTTGTTAAATCCCCCTCTAAAGCTATTCATGCTCATAACCATCCCTGAATCTTGTGGCGACAATTTCCACTGTTTAATTTTACACTGAATGAAGAAATGTCCCCTTTTATCTTTCCAGGAAATGTGCATTAGATCTCTCCAAACAGAGCAATTAATTGCGTATATGTAAAATGAACACACACTGGGTCAGCCAGAGCAAGAAAATAAACTTCATAATCTTTGCAAGGTATATAAAAATTATTTTGCTCATGAACAGTTGGACAAAACTAACACCAGTCCATCCTTTTTTAGATACATAAGAAAAAGAAAAACAATACAGGATATCAGAGACCTTGGAGCATGTCACCAAGGGAGAGATCATATGGGAAATGGAAAGAGGTGAACAGAGGTGAGGAGAGATGTTTTTAAGAGCTCTTTGTAATGGATTTTTTCTAACTAACATACATAATTTGGTGTTACAAGCAACTTGGCCATCTAATCCCTAACTCCAGATTATTATGTATTAAAAGTTAACAAGTACTAAAAATGGTCGTAATACATATGGTCAAGGGACCTTGCTGCTCACACTCCTCCATTGTGAGTATGAACTGTTGCTACTTTTTTATTTCTGGGAAATGAGTCTGTAAACTGAGTAATATTGCACCTTCTTCTTCCTCTTCCTCTTCCTCCTCCTCCTCCTCCTCCTCCTCCTCGTCCTCCTCCTCCTCCTCCTCCTCCTCCTCCTCCTCTTCTTCTTCTTCTTCTTCTTCTTCTTCTTTATTTATACCCTACTTTTTATCTCCACAAGAAGACTCAAAGTGGCTTACAAACAATTTCAAGACAATTTAAATCTATTAAATTTTAAATATACAAGCGTTAAAACAGAATTAAATATAATTGGTATTAAGAAAATCCTTCTCCATGTGGAAAATGTGTGAACAGTTCTTTAGGAGGACTGCAGCCTTTATGTGTAAGGGTGAGAGCACACAAACATTTATTTTGGAGAAATCTACTATTGTCAAGTTGAAGATCCAGAAGTTGGAAAATCTCCTCTTCTTTTTTACCATTATCACCAGAATCTCCTAGTTAGCAAGGCAAGTGGGGAGTACTGGGAATTACTTTCCAAAAAATAAGTTCCATAAGTTTTACTATACTGGATCAAACCAAAGGTTCATCTGTCTTGTTTCTTAGATGCCTCTATAGAACCAACAAGCAAGATAATAAAGGAATAACTGTTCCATACAGTCACATCCTAGCAACTAAGTTTGAGTTCTTTATAAAAGATGCTGAACATACATGTTGGAGTAAAAGCCTAGGCAATAAAATACACAGAATAAACTGGCATTTAGTGGCATACAGTCTCTGGATACAAGTGATCTATAAAGACACAATGGTTAGTCCCAACTAGATTTACTAACGGAAATAATTGTTGAATATGAGTCAAAACATAGATAATTCCAATAAATTCCATAGTTCTGTAGTCAGGACTAACAATACTGTGTAAGCAGTAGCAATACCCAAAGTTTGGAAAAGTTGCTTTCTGGACTATGATACTAAGCATCCCTGCCTGTCTGGAGGATGGAGGGCATTGTAATCCAGCCACCCTCCTCAGTGTTTCCAAATTCTGTTCTAATAACTATCAATAGAACTATCTCTCAGCTCAACCAATGCCCATCAGCACTACATCTCATGGCAGCAAATTCCGACATTTAATTATTCCCCCTGTGGAGAAAGGGTTCCTTTTGTTTCTTCTTTGGCTTTGCTTCATCATTTCATTTGTGTTTGCTTGCTTGTAAGAAGTCCTTGTTCTTGTTTCTGTTACATGATTAGAGTTACATGATGTAGCATTAGAAGAATATTTATTCTTCTTTCACTGTCTCTCTCTCTCCTCTTTTTGCCAGAGATGTTTATAGATCCCGCACCTGACTGCTCTCAGTGCCAGCCAGTGAAAATTTGCCTCTGGCAGCCATTCTTCCCCAGTGATAGTTTCAAACGCCTCAAGACGAGCAACCACACTGACTGTCAGATTCCGTTGAGTGGCCGACATCAGCAGCACAACAAAAGATCTTTTATTCTGAACAGAAAAAAATGTGCAACATTATTGAGCTGGAGTTGATACATAGGTTGGAAGGGGAGGGCTGGAATCCAAACTTGTTCCCAAATAACAGAGTTGCTCTACAACTCATCCATGGTTTTCTGACATCCTGATATCCTCAAATAACAACAATAAAGCTTCTGTCTCCTTTCAAGATATTTGTCATCGTTTTATCTTAAGCCAGAAAAGATTGAATGCTGGGAGATCAAAACGGCAGAACTGATAGCTTATATCCTCAGCAAGTGCTTATCAAGGGTAATCCTCCAAGATGGGATGCTTCAAATGTGACAAGTTGCTCCTCCTTCCTCCCCACAACAGGAAATAAAATTCCAAACCCCAAATAAAAATAAAACACTGGAGCAAATAAGCAAAGCCTCCCAAGATGTCATATGAGGTTCAGGTGAAGTCTGACTCGTCTGCAATTTCTGACCTATCGAAGCAAATGCCTTCTGTACCCTGCAAGAAATTTGACTTAAGATATTGCCCAAGCTTTTATTAGAGTACTAGTGAGGGTAAAAGTCTGCCAGCATATATATTCTGGTGATCTGTTTCCACTTCACCTGTGGAAAACTACCTGAAGAACTCCCTTTTGCCACTCTACCCTGGCCAATGATTGGCTGTGAGATGTGCCCATGTGTCATCTCATCTAGCTGCTACTTGCACACCAAAGGAAGAAGTCTTGTCCCCCACTTCAGATCAGAGCAAAGATTGCTTTTCCTTCTCCAACTTTGGTAAAGAGTCCAGAATGCCAATTCTCATGAATCTATGTAAGGTATGTGAAGGCAGAGAAGCATAATGATACCGCCTTTTCAAACAATGGGTGCAATAGAGACTTTTGGGAGGAAAAGGAAAGTTTCATTTTCATGTAAGTAGGAAGCAAAACATCTTGAGATACATCAGTATAAGAAATGTAGGCAAAAGCAAGACAGTAAGCATGCACCACAGAGTTCCCGAATTGCTCTATACATAAGCGTTGGTGCTTCTTCACATCTAAGGAGGTAGTAGATGCCTCCTTGTGCAATGCTATGAATAACTTTTGATGGCAAACTGGGGCTTACAGCAAAGTAAGGCATCAGTAGGATTCTGGCCACAGAAACCATTATCCTGTACTATGTCAGACTATTGGTTTATCTCAGGCATAGGGAAACTTTGGCCCTCCAGCTGTTTTGGACTTCAACTTCCACAATTCCTGAGCTTTGGTGATGTCCCTGGACCAGTTCAATAGGAGGGAAATTAAGCATAACTTCTTTGAAGCTTGTGTAAGTTTGCTTCCAGTTGGTTTGTCATCCATCAAGGGAACAGCACAGCTTTGAATTTAGCAGGTCCAAGATTTCCTACATCATTTGAAGATCTTTGACCTTTTAAAAAAAATGAATAGACACATGAGGGAGATATATAGAATTTTGCATTCTGAAGAGTAAATGGTGGAATTGTTGAACTCATGTGAGCTAAACAATAGGAAAGTCAAAACCAACAAAAGAATCAGCCGAACTCAAAAGATGTAGTGGTGGCCACTACATCTTCTGAGTTTTGAAATTTGTGGAAGATGGGAGTTATCAGGGACTTCTCATCCAGGTTTGGGACATTGTTCCTCTCAGTACTGTTTGGTGGAGTATATGAACAGGTGAATGTGATTGCATTCAAGTCCTACCAGTAGTTTTCCCATGGATAATTGTTTGGCTACAGGGTTAGATAGCTCTTTGGTCTGATCCAGGCTGGGCCCTCTTTACTCTTTGTTTGCTCATCAATCTGCCTGTAGTATGTCCTCTCTGAGATTATTTCATCAACACATGGAAAGTCAGGGCAACAAGCATTTCCATTCTAGAAACAATGAGCTTTGTAAGGCTAAACCTCCACCGCAAGACAGAAAAGGAGATCTCTCTCCATGGGCTTTGGGACATTATTTCATCAAGCATAGGAGTTCTGATATTCCACTTCATCACATTTACTAAATTCCACTGAGTGCTACACTTAAAATCCAGAAAGCCACTCTTTTCATCACATTAGTTTGGCTTCAAGTGTAGGATAGAGCATTTTTTGCATATTTTAAGTGTGAGGGCCAGCATTCTTTTAAAATGTTTCATGAGGTGGTAGGGAAGGGGATTTTTTGAAATCATCTGGATGTTTGACCATTTCTGTAACGTGGTGGCATTAGTTGCTTCTAGGTTTAAAATGAAACCTTTCCCAAATTTGTGGAAGGGGAAATCGTGTGAGGAGCCAAAAGTATCCATGTTAGGGAAAGCATTTTGCTCACTGAGTTTTTACTTTGTCAGAACAATTTCTTTCTAAAAAAATTAGTCTTTTAGGGTCTTTCCCTTTCCTTCCTTCTTTACGTGATATGTCTGTACCCATGTGTTGCATGGGAAAGCCGGGAAAGAAGGATGATGATGATGATGATGATGATGATGATGATGATGATGATGATTATTATTATTATGCCATGTCTCCATGCTGTGCAGTCCTGGGAGTCATAGTTTTCAATGGTCCATACCCTTCTCTTGGTGCTTTTACAGTATGGAACGAATGCCCTTGCACCCCACTTTAAATGCCATAGCTCCATACTATGCATTCCTGGGACTTATAGCTTTCCAAGGTCCATCCCCTTCTCTGTGGGGCAACCGAGAGAGAGAGGGAGAGACAGGGAGAGAGCGATGAGCAGGGAGAGGGATGGTGGATGGGGCCAAATCTTTGCAGCATGAAACAATACTGAAAGAAAACTGAGGGACATTTAACAGTGTGATAGAAGGTAGGGAAAACATCTGTTTCATTAAAAAACTGAGTAAGACTGAGCTCTTCTCTGCTCTCCTCTGCCACACACTTCCCTGCCAAATCTAATATTGGGTCTCAACTTTTATATTCCTGGATGTACTGAAGCTGATTATCCTCTTGTTCTTTTTGGGCGTTTTGGGGATACTCAATCATGGAAGACTACTGCAGTCTGGTGTATAATAGGTTTTATATCATATACTGAATTTTACAGGTTGTTCCAGCAAAATCCCAGCTAGTTGGCAATTCTGTATGGGAATAATAATGGTCCCCTTTCCACTATTCATCGTGTGGATAAATGCACTTCTTCCCACTGTTCATCAGGCGGATAAATGCAGTGATAATTATAAAGCACACTACAGATTTGAAGTGCGATATAAATGATAAATAGTAGCAAAGCATTAGATGGAATAGATAGAGGGCTAATAACTGTAAATATTTTAAACATTTTGAATTTTTTCCATTTTCCAGTGAGGGACTTAATAATCTATGTTATGAAAATCATAGCTTGCATTTCCATTCAACATTGGTTAATTTTTTTAATGTGGCATCTATCAGTGTACATATGGTAGAATGTGAGCTTGACAGTGGCAAATACCACATTAAAATCCAATTAAGTTAGTGCTGTGGCAGATTTTTTTTAAAAAAGACCCCAGTCCACATTAATGCAAAATATGGTAGACTTTAACAACTGCTGTCAGTTGTTGAGGTGAGGAGGCAGAGTTGTGGAGTTTATTTTAACCCTCTCACATAAGGTTTTGGATCAGGTTACAGGATTTCTCTTAAGTGTGTTCCCAAAGATTTCCAGGGATAGTGTGCAGAGTGTGGTCGAACAGTTTCAACTCCTTTCAACTCTACCCTTCCTTAAGAATCACAATGAGATATATCTCACATGTAAAAGTAGATGATTGCTCCCAAAAAAAAAAGTAACAAGATTTCTGAATGTTTTCTGTTATGGGGTAAGGTCCATAGTTTAATAAAAGAGCATGTTATTTTCTTGTATTGATTGATTGATTGATTTACTACATTGATATCTTGCCCTTCTCACCCAAAGGGGACCCAAGGCAACCTTACAAAAAGGCAACAAGTCCTAAACATTTCCTAGTTAAGAAATCATGTCGCAGATGATGGAGAACAACTGTGATGATACCCTGGGGACCTACCTTCCTCAGAATAGGCTAGATGGACCAATGCTTTGATCCGGCATTAAAACAACTTTCTATATGCCTCCAAATATTGATGAGCAAAGTTCCTGTGCAGGTGAGTGTTCAGCTGATATCTGATATTCGGTGTCAACATTTGTCACCCACTTATTATTCACTACTAGTCAGTATTCAACAGTATCTGACAGCTAACACATTGTAGCACTCAGTTTCTGACATTGATGACTAGGAATGCAGCAGCAATCCGAATATTTGACAGCTGACATGTAGCAGCAGTCAACATTTGACTGTATCAGACTGTCTACATTGTTTATTAAATTAGGAGATAACTCTGTTCATTCACCAGTTGGGAAATATCCCCTGAAAATATATCTGTTTCTGTCTCCGAGCAGTTAAATGTCAATGTTTAATAAACAACATTGATTCCACCTGAACATTAGGATGAACTTTCTGACTGTGAGAGCTGTTCAGCAGTGGAACTCTCTACCCCGAAGTGTGGTGGAGGCTCTTTCTATGGAGGCTTTTAAACAGAGGCTGGATGGCCATCTGTTGGTGGTGCTTTGAATGTGATTGTTCTGCTCCTTGGCAGGGGGTTGGACTGAATGGCCCATGAGGTCTCTTCCAACTTTATGATTCTATGATTCTACAAAGTGGATTTAAAAATATAATGCTAAATTTTAATGTCAATTGGTTCAACAAAGGATTTTCTGCCCCAGAGTAGGTTTTGGGGGTGACTTTTACCAAACTGATTAGTAGCCTACTACCAACATCAGATTAGACTCTCCGCCAGCCACAAGGACTTCATATCACATTTTCCATCCCCCAAGAAGGCCCAGGACATTTTTTTACCCTCCCCATTTTGTATTCAATCTGTACCTAAAGAACTTTGTGTCTGGTGGGATGGGGGGAGCAAGGAGGGTATAAAAAGAAGGGCTGAAACGCTATAGAGAATTGGGGGGTTGGAGGATTGCAGCAATAATACGTCTCATGCTTATCATAGAATCATAGAATCAAAGAGTTGGAAGAGACCTCTTGGGCCATCCAGTCCAACCCCCTGCCAAGAAGCAGGAATATTGCATTCAAATCACCCCTGACAAATGGCCACCCAGCCTTATGTCTATGTTTGATCTTTTTATAGTTTTAATGGTTTTTATCTACAATTATATGTTATTGAATTTGCCATTTATTATGTTGAAAACCACTTTGAATCCCCCCAGGGGTGAGA